ACAAAAGAAATAAACAAACTTAACTAATAAATAAAAGGTACGAGACGTAACAGGATGTTGGAGGGGAAGGGAGTAAATTCATTTGCCTTTTGAAACCAAATGTTTAATATTTTCATCAATTTGTTCAATACAACTTCAAGTGGGTGCCAACTAGAAGACCAAGCCCAGTAATTCAGAGAGGAAACAATCTTCCAAACCAAAAGGAATAAAGATAATCTTCTTTCACTCCAGCCGTAATACTGGTGGTCATAACAGTGCGAGTCAGCCAGTGTTACCCAGATTATCGAGTGTTAACCTGGCAAGAGAAAAAATTAGGTTTAAACGTCTTAATAAAAAAATTGTTGCTGCAATTAACTAAATTCCTTCAACTTTTACAGATGAAATAAAGGTGTAAGTATAAACAATCACTACCCTGATGACTGACAAACACCAAAAATAAAAACCTTCAGTTACATACCTTTTTGACCTTGTAGGAAAATTAGTTACATACATAATGCTTACCACATCATCAATTTTCAGAATGCTCCGGACAGTCTCAGTTGCTAGGGTTAGAGCACTGACTGAAACCAACAGTGGTTGGACAACCAGTTCTTCCAAAATGTTGGAAATACCACCCTGAAAATCAACACAAGTTGCTTTTTAGTATCTGAAATTACACATTAATAATCACACTATCACCAGCATGCCTCATGACATTTTCAAACCTTATTTTTGCCTGGCCTTGGTACACTATACTAAGACACTCAGCTAAAGCTCTTCTCTACACTATAGGTTACTTGAACTAAAATTCGGGGAGAACTGAATTAACACTGAATTCCTCCAATATTAACTCTAAAACATGTACACCTCAAATATTGATCTAATGAACAGCCTGACAACATGGCCAGTTAGATCCCACACATGGTTGACAGTTCAATTCAGGTCTTTGAAGGACATGTCTCTGCAAGACTGCAATGTGGTCATCCTTCCTGGGGTGATTTTTCACTTTCCCTTTCTGTCTCTCTCCAACGAAGAGCATGTACGTACTCTATAACAAAAACTGAAAAAAAGAAAAAAAAAAATCCTGGCAAAATCAGGTAGATGACCACAGTAGTTAAAAATTTAAGATCTTGGGAACCAGCAGTTAGCGTAATGGCTATGTCACTGGACTCCCACGTAGTCGACCGTGGTTCATGTCCTGGACCTGATGGCTTAAAACTCACGCCAGGTGCGTGTGCATGCGTGCCCAAGATCCCGAGAGGAGACAGGAGGAGGAGGGACTGCAGGGTGACCATCCCCCCTGGGGGGTGATTTCTTGCTTTCTGTCTCTATGTCTCTCTCTGTCGGGCGAGCGCACGTGCCCTATAGCGAAAATCTCTCCAAAAAATATCTTTAAGGTTTAAATCACCTCTAAATTAAAAAAAAAAAAGACTAAATTTTATTTATTCATTCATTCATCTATTTAAAAAAATTACTTTATTTAACTTTCTTCATTGTGCTATCCTGCTTCCCTTTATCTCAGGATTACTGCTAATGGCTGTAATGGGCATCCTTGTCTCCTGTCTTCCCTCCTTAAAATACTCATCACAGCCTAATTCTAGATTTTACCTGATCTTTCTAACTTCAAAGTCCATTATGTTATTAATATATAACCAATGCTCTAAACAGGTTGATTAAGTTCTTTGTCCTGCTCACTTATAAACCCCTGCTCCCCATCTGAAATTTCCTCATCCTCTACTAAACCAAGTTGCTTCTCATAAAGTTTTTCTTAACCAGGTAGTGCCATCCTTTGGAGTTCTGTACCATTTAAGACAATGTCACCTTGGATTATTGTTTTTATCCTATAAGTGTTGTCTCCACAACAAACTATCAGCAACAAAGAGACCGTTATTGCTGTTCTGGGTATTCATCCTACATGAGTGCTACCTGGCCTTCACAACAGGAGCAACCGTTAATATTTACACAGCATATACTTATGCCAATCATGGATCTCAGAGCTTTCTCATTAGTGAGGGATTTAAATCTCACAATGGGTCTACGAAGAATCTATTAATTATCCCAGTTTTACAATTGACAAAACTGAAAAACAGACTAAGTAACTTGCTAAAAACCAGTCAGTAAGTGATGGAATTAATGAACAAAATATTACTTTTCACTAAGCCATCAACATCATCCTTTGTCAATGGCATACATTAATGTGATCAGGTCTCATATATAAGTCCAAGATTATACTATTTTTAATTATAAAGCTTTCAATATTTTTATATTAATCAACATTTTCTGCAATGATTAAAAATCAAATTACCTTTCTGACATTGATGCCTGTAGTTTTTTCTCCATGAGCGTGCCGGTTTCTTAGTTCTGTTACTGTAGAAATAGGATTCAGGCCAGCATTTTCAGCCAGTGTAGATGGAATGACTTCCATAGCATCTGCAAAAGCACGGACGCAGTAGGATTCCATACCACTCAGTGTTCGTGAATATTCAGTTAATCGTAGGGCCAATTCTATTTCTGGGGCACCACCTCCTGCAATAAGAGCTCTGAAATTCACAATTTTTTTTTTTAGTTTATTTTATCCAACAGAAAGCTATTTTTAATAATTCACTATTATGCCTTAAAAATAGTCAAAATTGACATGCTTTTATGTTCAAGACGTTACTTAGTAATGTAACATTTATATTACCTTTTTTTCACTAAACAGCGAATAACACATAGGGCATCATGAATGGAGCGCTCAGCTTCTTCAATCACCAGTTTGTTAGAACCTCGAACAACAATTGTAACTGTTTTTCCAGGGCTTGCACAGCCTGTAATCTTTAGGAAACAAATTCCAAATTATGTATTAGAAGTTAAGAGTTACCAAAAAGACCCAGGCAAATATAAGTTTAATTATAACATTATTACCTTCAGCAGTTTACCAGAACCATTGAGATTGACCTCCTCAGCTATCTCAGCAGAACCCAGCATGTCAGTGGTGAATTGGTCGATATGAGCAACTGGTTTGGTTCCAATTGTCTGAAAAAAACATTCAAGTTCTCAAATCAAGACATTTATTTAATTGATGGACATTTTCACATACATAGATGGTAATACTTTACCTTACAAATGAATTCAATGTCTTCTCTCTCAATATCCTTAACTACCATAATCTTCATTTTGTTCAGAAAATGTAATGCAAGGTCACTGAGAGCATCTCTAAAATATAAAAGAAATGACTATATCATTGCTAGGTTTGAAAAAAAAATTTTGGACTTTGTTTTTTTTTTTTTTTGAGAGGTTTTTGCTATAGGGCGCATGTGTATGCCAGAAAGACAGAGAGCGACAAATCACCTCCCCGTGGCCACACCACAATCCCCTCTCCTCCATTCTCCTCTCAGAATCTTGGGCATGCACGCACAAACGTCTGGCATGAGTTTAAGCCACTGGGTCTGGGACTCAAACAGTCCAGCGACACAGCCATTATGCTAACTGCTGGTCCCAGGATTCGACTGCTTTTTAAGGGTTATTTTACTGTTGTTTAAATGGTCTGTCACATTAGCAAAGCCAAATGCTTTAAATATTTAAGTTTATAAGCTCACATTCTTTTTTCTTTAAATAATTATTTAATTAATTTATAATTTTAATTCCCCAGAGGTGGGGAGAGAAAGTGAGAAAGCAAGCCTCCAGGTCAGGGACTCAGAACTGTTGTTGGCCATGTGAGAGTCTAGCAACTTCACCACTATGCCACCTGCCGGCCCCAAGCTCCACACTCTTAAAAGACAATTCTACTGGAAAAATTTTTTTGGAAAGGTTTTTGCTATAGGGTGTGTACGCTCGCCAGAAAGGTAGAGACAGAGAGAGAGAAATCACCCCCCCAGGGGGAATGGCCATGCCACAATCCCTTCTCCATTATCGTCTCAGGATCTTGGGCGCGCGTGCGCACACACGCACAGAGTGAGTTTAGCCACCAGGTCCAGGACTCAAACCACAGTCGACTACGCAGGAGTCCAGTGACATAGCTATCACGTCAAATGCTACTCCCTCTACTGAAAATTTTTTATCTTCATTCCAATATTAAAAGGTACCCTTCACTCACAGGTACAATAGGTATAGTGAGTGGCTATGGTGCTGGACTCCCACACGGCCCACTGAACCTAGAGTCCTAGACCCAGTGGCTTAAAAATCATGCCAGGGTACCAGAAGATGGTGTAATGATTATGTCACTGAACTCCCATGCAGTCAACTACGATTCAAGTTTCAGCTACAGTAGCTAAAAACTAATGCCAGGCATGTGTGCATATGTGTTCAAGATCCCACGAAGAGTGTGGGAGAGAAGGGAATGTAGTATGGCCACCCCCCCTTTGGAAGTGAATTCTCACTTTCTGTCTCTCTGTCCAGCATGTGTATGTACCCTATAGCAAAAAATCTCTCGAAGGAAGGAAGAAAAGAAAGAAAAAGAGAGAGAGAGAGAAATTATGCTGGGTACACATGTGTGGGTATGTCCAAAATGCTGAAAGGAAAATGCAGAAGGGATGTGGCTTGGTCATCCCCTCTGGAGGGTCATTTATCATTTTCCCTTTTTCTCTCTTTCTAAGTGCATATGCCCTATGGTCAAAAAACCCCAAAAAACCAAAAACACACACACACACACACACACAAAAACAAAAAAACCACCCTAAAAAACAAACAAAATGTACCCATCCTCGGGCCAACAGGTGGCATAGTGGTTAGAGGAAGGTGGCTGACCCACATGGCTGACCTTGCAGGTAAAGTCCCAGATCTGGTGGCTTGAAAAAAAACCACCCTGGGCGCCATGCTTGCCCAAATATCAACAGAATGGAAAAGGGATTGTGGTATGGCCATCACCTCAGGGTGTGTGTGTGTGGGTGATTTCTCAATTTCCTTCTCTCTCTGGCAAACACAGGCACCTTATAGCACATGCGTGCACACACAGTTACTTCCCTCAATGACACTATTTTAGTTTTTTTGCCATAGGGTGCCTGCACTCACATAGAGAGAAGAGAAAGTAATAAATCACCCTCCCAAGGTGGATGGCCATGGCACAATTCCTTCTTCATTTTCCTCTTGCCATTTTGGGTGCACATGCACCCATCATGATTTTTTTCTGGTGAGATAAAAGATCACCATTCTTACTGAGCACATGCAGAAAACTGAAAGTTTATTGATGCTTCTTGAATTTAGAAGTATGATTAAAATTTACATTTTCCCTAAAATTGTATGAAATGATCTAAACACCTTTAGGCATATTTTACTATCTCTGTTGTATGAAAAAGCAAACTGAGTTTTGGGATCAATTTACTCAACATCCACCAGCTATTAACATGACCCGAGATTAGAACCTTGCCTTCCATTTCTTTATTGAGGATAAAACCAAAATGCACAGTACTTTCTGGTATAACATATTAAGTGAATGGGAATGTGCCTATTAGAATAAAACACCAAAGGGAAAAAAGGATTACTTTGGAGATTTCTTTTCCCTTTTCAAGACAGCATCTTCCCATTACAAAACCTTCTTCCCAAGCAGCTGTGACCATGATATTTGTACCACCATATCCAGCTTTTCTTAGGGTGGGCTGGAAATTAATCCTCCCATGTAGCTTCAGTGTGCCAAGGAGCTGCACCTACCAAGGCATGCTACCATGGCTGGACCAGAAATTTTTTGATCTTCAGACTGCAAATAATTTCCCCCAAAAGAATTTTGGTATTTATTTATTTTTTTTAAGAGGTTTTTGCTATAGGGCGCGTATGCTCGCCATACAGAGACAAAGAGATAGAAAGCGAGAAATCACTCCCCAGGGGGGATGGCCATGCCGCACCGCAATCCCTTCTCCTCCATTCTCCTCTCGGGATCTTGGGCACGCACGCAGATGCGCCCGGCGTGAGTTTAAGCCGCCAGGTCTGGGACACAAACCACGGTCGACTACATGGGAGTCCAGCGACATAGCTATTACACTAACTGCTGGTCCCAAGAACTTCGATATTTCAAGGGAAAGAATTTCATAGACCATTAAATATCTTTTAGCTAACAAATTTTAGATCAAACTTAGGATCCTGATCTTACAAAGATTATATTCCCCAGGTTGAAATAATAACAAAAAATGGTGAACCTATTTTTTATTAATCAAAATATTAAAAAGTCTATGAATACGAACCCATTCTAGATTACTGGTGATTTAACCATCTCGAATGTTTCTTTAAAAATTGGTAGTAGAGGACCAGCAGGTGGCATGATGGTTAAGGCGCTGGACACTCCCACATGACCGACCAAAGTTTGAGTCCTGAATCTGGTGGCCTGCTTTCTCACTTCCTCTCTCTCGCTCTCACCCTCTGTCTCTCTCTGATCAAACTAAAAAATAAATGAATGAATAAATAAATAATTATTGGGGTTGGTAGGTGGTGTGGTGATAAAGGTGCTGGACTCCCACATGGCCGACCACGGTTCAAGTCCTGGACCTGGTGGCTTCCTTTTTCACTTTCCCTCTCTCTTTCTCTGTCTCTCTCTGATCAAACTGGAAAATAATAATAAATAAAGTTAAATAAAATAATAGATTTTAAAAAAATGGTAGTAGAGGGAACCAGCAGTTAGCGTAATGGCTATGTCGCTGGAATCCCACGTCGTCCACCGCCCTCAGGGTTTTATTTATTTTTCTTCGCCTCTCTAAAAATGGCTCTTTGGTCTTCCTAGTAGACAATATATTTCCTTTTCAAAACAATCCATTTGAGGGACCAGCAGTTAGCATAATGGCGATGTCACTGGACTCCCATGCAGTCAATTGCGGTTCGAGTCCCAGACCTGGTGGCTTAAACTCATGCAAGGCGCGTGTGCATGCGTGCCCAAGATCCTGAGAGAATGGAGGAGAAGGGATTGCGGTGTGGCCATCCCCCGTCGGGGGTGATTTCTCCCTTTCTGTCTCTCTGTCTCTCTGTCTCTCTGGCAAGCACCCGTGCCCTATAGCAAAACCTCTCCAAAAAAAGAAGAAAAGAAAAAAAGAAGCAGCTAGTAGGGATCCTAACCCAATTATCATTAACAGACAAACAAAATAAACAGCCCCACACCTTAGGATAGACTTCTGTATGAGAAGAACATTACATCCTGTTTTTTTGATTTGCTTCACTAAATTTAAAATATAGGCTCTTTCTTCTCGCAGCACTCGGTCCATCTGGGCATAGTCGGAAACTACTATTTGGTTATCCATCTGTTTGGGGACAAAAGTAATAATTTGCACTATAAAAGACTCAGTGAGAAAAGACATTTAAAGTGAAAATGCTAAAGGAAATTAAATGAAAGTAAAGTATATCAAGAAAAAATAAATAAGATCAAAATATCGTGTACAGTGTAAAGTCAACCCAAATCACACCAAACAATAAATTATAAAGGCATAAGTAAGGGTTTGGAAAGAAACATACAGGCACCAAACTTAAGTCTTTTACTTTTGACTATATCCGTTTATGTCTTTTAAAAATGTTTTGCAAGTACATTTTTGACAATCACAAAATTTAATTATCTTGTTTCCTGAATGTCAATCTTATACACACAAACAGAATATGTAGTACATAAATTTCATGTGTATCCTTTTCGTTCTACAGGTTATTATAAAAATGGTACACTGAGAAGACTTGTTTTTATCAAAGACATAAACAATATTTAACTTCTGTCTGAGCTAAACCTTTGAGAATCAAACTACTAAACAGGAAACCTGTTAGTTATAATGCAAAATGAGAGCAGATCTGACTTAGGTACCAACCAAACCTATTAGAGAATGGCACCTTTAACTAAAAGATATGGGAATACATAAGTAAAAGACAATTTCTCTGTATCAGTTTAATACTTATAATCTAAAATTCCATTTGTACAAATGTAGAAAAGATCTGTAAGCTGCTGGCTGGGTGAAGCTACAATCTGGGGGCTGGAAAATTAAGATTAGGTCCATGTGCACATACGCCCACAATCTTGACACGATGGATAAATAGAGAAGGGACTGCAGTGTGACCACATGCCTTTCCCCCACCCCCAAGCAAGCTATAATCTGAGAATTCCATGTATGCAATAATTTATTTTTATTCCATACATATCCCTAGTTGTTTTTGTAATCTGTGAAATAAGTCAGCATTCAATTTCAAGTAACAGCTAATTAAGGCTATAGATTTGTTTTACTTGTGGTACCAACACTTTCTATTTTTGTCTCAATTCTACTAATTCTTTGATCTATGCTTTTCACTTACTAATATCAGTTCATCACCAATTTCACCTTTTTTATAATTATTAAGTTTTTTTTTTTTTTGGCCACAGGGCATGTGAGCTAACTGGAGAAAGACAAAGAGAGAAAGTGAGAAATCATCCCCTGGGGGGATGGCCATGCTGCAATCCCCTCTCCATTCTCCTCTTGGGATTTTGGGCATGTACAAATGCACTTAGTGTATTTTCCAAGACTCCAGGTTCAGGACTTAAAACTACATACTCGGCCACGTGGGATTCAGGGCCTTAACGACCATGTCATCTGGCTGGCCTAGTATCAGAATTTTTTATTTTTACTAAGCAAGTATCTGCATTATTAGAAAGAAAAACATAAGCACAAAACAAATTTCACTTTGATTCTACTTACATCTGTTTTGGGAGCAGATAAGCAAAACTGAATGAGCCCAATCTTAGCTTTTTCAACTCTGGTTATGCCAGAATTTGCCACTTTTTGAGTGAGAACCAGACCTTCCACCAACTCGCAGTCATCAATTGTCCCACTAAGAAAAAAGGTAAGAGATAGTTAAGGGGCAGAAATCTCCTAGTTGAATAAACTGCTAACAGATTTTAAAAATCACCAGTTCAATCAAATGTGCTTTAGCTTCCCTCTTATTAGTACCCCATTCGTAGACCTCTTTCATCCAGTACTGCCATAACATCAGAAAGGAGACAAAGCAAAACAAGGAAGCTTTGTGACTTTTACCTATTTTCCCCTTAACCTTATTTTTGCTAAGTTATGCTCATTTTCAAACTTTTATTATTAAATTTAAAATTAGAGATGCTTACCCAAGCTTCTTAACTATTTTAATATCTCTAAGATCTACACTGGTAGCTGTGGCTGGGTCAATCACTTTCATCACTGCATTTACACTCATTGGAGAAAGCAGACTTGAATACTGAGATACAACCTAGAATTAAAAATAAAAGTTAACTTTATAGAAAAATTTTCTTAATTTTTCAATGACAAGACAGTCAAGGACATTTAGTGACTTTTTTGGGTGATGTGAAATGGCAAGTGGTGAAAGGATAACATTAAGAAATTCCATAAAACTGCCTTTTGCACTCAGAATGTCAGTCACGGAGGGTTCAAAATAAAAATATACTTGCTTTTATTAATATAGTGATCACAACTGTCAAGATTACTAATAGCCTGGGACCAGCACTTAGTGTAATGGCTATGTTGCTGGACTCCCATGTAGTTGACCACAGTTCGCGTCCCGGACTCGGTGGCTTAAAACTCACGCATGTGCATGCGTGCCTAAGATCCAGAGAAGAGAATGGAGGACAAAGGATTGCGGTGTGGCCATCCCCTCTGTGGGGTGACTTCTCGCTATCTCTCTGTCTGGCGAGTGCACGCGCCCTATAGCAATAATCTCTTCAAAAAAAAAAAAAATTACCAATAGCCTTATAGAAAATTAAAATTAAAAAAAAAAATCTATTTAAGTGGAAGTTTTATATATAACATGAAAGTGTGACAAAGTATTAGTATTATATACATGCACCCCTAATACTGAGGAGCTGATGACAATAGCTGTTGGCTAATTTTTATTATATATTACATGCCAGGGAGTGGCTTTACTACTTTATATACATTAATTCATTTAATCTTTAGATGACAAAATTAAAACATTAAGTCATTTACCCAATTCATATAGCTTAGTCAAATGGTAGAGCCAACACTGAACACAATCCATCTGGGCTCTTCGATTGATGCTTGCAACCATTATGTTAAACTATTTGTATTAGTTCTGGGGACATTCAATGATATCACTCAGTGTCACTAATACCATCTAGCTTTCCACTTAACATGCAAAGAAAATGTATAGCTTTTTTTTGATAGAGGGTATGTGTGCTCAATAGAAAAAGACAGATGGAAAGCAAGAGGAGAGGGAGAAAGCATCCTTAATGGGGAATGGTCAAGCCAAAATCTCTTCTCATTACTCTACATTGTTAGGATCGAGGACATGCATGCACATGTGCTTGGCGTGTTTTAGAAGCTGCCAGGTCCAGGACTCAAATTACAAGGCAGCCATATGGAACTCATTTAACTACCAGGCTGTGGGCTAGCCTGAACATATGGGTCTTAAAATCGATAAGAAGGGACAGCCAGTGAGTGGCACAGTGGTAACACAATGTTCTGTGATGCTGAGTCCACATGGGAATGTCCCATGTTCATTTCCTGAGGTCTACCTCTACACATTAGGCATACACATGTGCTCCTATGGTCTTGGTGGCTAAGGCTAGGGGGTAGATCACAATATGAAGATCCTATTAGGGATGCCTATTTCTCTCTCTCACATGGGAAAAAATACAAACAAGAAAAAAACAAAACTGATGAAAAGGAAAAAGAACTGACAGATGAGGGAGATGATACAGGACACAAAACAGAATGTGACAAGAGTGCCCGAGAAATTCAGAAGTACATGATTGCTTTACATTTGATAACTAGAAAAGCAATACAGGTATTAGTTAAGAGATGAACCATGGATGGGCAACTTATTCTAAGTTCAAATCTCAGTTCCATTTAAGGGGCCTTGGATAAATTACTTGACTAGATCTATTCTCCCATTTGTAAAATGGGGATATGACTATGTATCTTAAAGCCTAGGAAAGACAAATATAAAAAATTTACTATAATAATAAAGCACATTAAATATTCAATAAAAAGTAGCTGTATTGTCAGACATTTTATGGGAGTCTTTCTGATTTAGGAGATGGAAAGATTTCTAGCAGGTAACTTATACTAAATTATGTAGCTTTATCAAAATTCACTGACTTGAAAAGCCACAAATAGATACGGCACATATTATTCTAATTCCCTAGCTTGTTAGCCTTATAGCTCATTTCACCTCATAACCTTACTCAAATCAATTCACTTACACAAATTACTTCAGTTACTTTCAGACTTAATATCTGAAAACCATACAGTAACGAGAATCACAGCATAAGAGTAACACACTGTAATTTCTATCTTCACAGCCAGTGCTCCTCTCACCTTTGAGTTCAATGAAGTGGTTGCACTATTTAACAAGGTTTCTCTGTCACTCAGTTCCACAGGTCGAGACATGTCAGTCAAGATCTCAATTCCCTTTTCCAAAGCCTTCTGGAATGACTCGGAAATTATAGTTGGATGAATTCCTGTCATTTGTGGAAAATCTAGTTATTTAATTATAATTGATAAACTATACATTTGACACAACTTAAAATTTTTCTTATTAAAAATGTCAAAGCACCCTAAAATTTTACTATTTATTGCAAACTAACTTATACTTCAGTAAATAAAACAGCTTAAGTAAGCTAACTGATAATCATGGCTAATAACTGCCGTTTACTTTGAAAAACATCAATCGTATCCTCATGTGTTAGGTGATACAAGGTTAAATATTAATTTTATACTTTTCAAACATCACAAATTGGGGCCAGCAGTTGGCATAATTGCTATTTCGCTGGACTCCCATGTAGTCGACTGAGGTTTGAGTCCCGGATCCAGTAGCTTAAACTAACACCAGGCATGTGTGCGTGGGTGCCCAAGAGAAACATCACGAGTTTATGTAATAGGTATAGTAATTAGTCATTACTATGACTAAACACTATTTATCAAAGGAAGAATCCTTACTTCCTCTCCCAAATCACCTTTCTCATTTAGAGTCTAGTAGTGATACCACCACCAATCCTATTTGACAAGCAAGATCCTGAGCCAGCCGGTAGCATGTTAGTTAAGGCAGCTGAATTCCACAAGGACTATGAGATTCAAGTCCTGAACTCAGCAGCCTGAAAAATGCACTGGGTCCATGTGCACGTGTGCTCCATATCTCAAAAGGAGAAATGGACGATTACAGCATGACCCATGGGGCGGGGGGTTCTTTCTCCTCTCTCCCACCCCAATCTCCAGCAAGCACAAGTGCCCGTCAGCCAAAAAGAAAGCAAAATCCTGTGACATTTCAAAGAGAAGGCTGACAGATATCAGAAGAAAACCTTTTGATTTGTATTATAAACACAGAAGAATACAAAAACGTGAGAATTCCTGATAAAAAGTTTCAAGTCAGGACCAGCAGATGGCTTGGTGGTTAAGGTGCTGGACACTCCCATATAGCCAACCACAGTTCTAATCCAGGACCTGGTGGTTTGCTTTCTTACTTTCTCTCTCTCTGTGAGTCTCTCTCTCCAAATTAAAATAATAAGTAAATAAAATGAAATAAATAGTTTTGGGGGCCGGCAAGTGGCATGGTGGTTAAAGACGCTGGATTCGTACACAGCCAACTGCGGTTTGAGTCCTGGACCTAGAGGCTTGCTTTCTTGCTTTCCCTTTCTGTCTGTCTCTGTCTGGTCAAAAAAAAAAAAAAAAGGAATTAAATAAATAAATAATTCTTAAAGGAAAAAAAGTTTAAGTCATTACATTAAATCTTAAATCCAGTATCATTTAAGCATAGGCTGGTTTGGGTGACCAGCAGATGGTATGATTACGTCACTGAACTCCTATGCAACTGACTGCAGTTCGAGTCCCAGACCCAGGGGCTTAAAGCTCACACTGGGGACGTGTATTAGCATGCTCAAAATCCTGAGAGGAGACTAGAGGAGAAAGGACTGCAGCATGGCCACCCTCTCTTGGGGGCGATTTCTCACTTTCTGTCTCTGTCTCTCACTGAGCACACGTACCCTATAGCAAAAGTATTTCTTTTAAAATAACAACAACAAAAGGTTGGTTTGGGGCAGCAAATGGCGTGGTGGTTGAGGTGGTGGATCTCACATAGCCAACTCTGTGGTCTGAGTCACAGCCTCGGCAGTTTGAAAAACACATCAGGTGTCTCTGTCATGTGTGCCCGAAATCCCAAGAGGAGAATGGGAAAGGAATGTGGCATGGCCAACCCCCTATGTCACTATCCCTCTCAGTTTCTCTCTCCTGTGAGTCGACACACCTCATGCCCAAAAACAAAACAAAATAAAAAAGTTGGATTTTCTTCTAGTTTTTCAAAAACATTTGTCTTTATTTGGTTAATAAAGCACATCTCACCTTTTTGAAGAAGTTTGGTACAGGAATCTAAAAGAGAGCCAGCAATAATGACTACTGATGTGGTGCCATCTCCTGCTTCTATATCTTGGGCCTTGGAAAGCTCCACCAACTATAGGAACAAACACAAGCCAAGCTATTCAGTAAGAAACATGAGAACCTGGTAACATCTAATTCAAACCACATCAGTATCACAAAAACAGAATTTGAAGATTCAACATCAGTCTTTAATCCTTACTTGTTGTTTACTTGGGGCTTCATTTAAAAATGAAGACAGACACATTTGTGGTATACAGAATTCTACTTACAAACATTTCCATAAGAGGCAATATAGATTTTGGTTCAGATTGTGGAATGTAAACTTGCTTCCCCCCACCCAGCTACTCAAAACGAAAATTCCTAAATCCCTATTAAAAACCTTAAATGTTACATCATAGGTAACCTGCAGACTTGGAAGCTTTGAATTGGGGTATACCAGATGAAAACAGAGTATTAGTTTAAGAGTCCTTTGTCAAGTTTATCTGATCCAATGTGAACATGATCTGACTCATTTAAAAAGTCACCTTTGCAGGGACCAGCAGTTGGCGTAATGGCTATGTCACTGGACTCCCATGAAGTCAACTGCGGTTCGAGTCCTGGACCCGTGGCTTAAACTCACACCAGGTACGTGTGCATGTGTGCCCAAGATCCTAAGAGGAGAATGAAGGAGAAGAGACAGTGGCGTGGCCACACACACTCCCCACACACCAGGGGGTGATTTCTTGCTTTCCGTCTCTCTGTCTTTCTGGGGAGCACAGGCATTCTATAGCAAAAACCTCTTAAAAAAAAAAAAAGTCACCTTTGCATAATTAAAAGACAAAGAATCACTTTCTAAGGGGGGGTGTGTGGCTGGGAATGTCATATAATAGCATGTGGCTGATCCTGATTTGAGTCCCGGACCTGGTGGCTTGCATTCTCACTTTCCCTCTTTCTGATCATATTTTTTTAAAAAATGATAAATAAAACTAAATAAATAAAATCTCTTTCTAAGCATCTTTTGCTACGATGGTGAATTCTTACTCAACACCAACTAGCATATCATTATGCTCCTTAGTTAAATAGTAATGAAATAAACTTGAGGGCAAATTCTGACACTATTTTGCACATTTTTTTCTTTCAACAACCATTAAACTAATAATCTATACTAAAAAAGGTATCATTTATGCTTTTATCTCCTTCTTCCTCAACTGTATGGCACATTTCTATGGACAAGGAAACTTGATATATGTTTATTATATTACACTGTAAAGTATAATGCTAAACATATAATACACCCCAAGAATATGCCTGCTTAACATAGTTTTTATCAGGCTTAAGTATCATATGATCAAATAAATAAATTCAACTATCAAATATCAAGCAATGCACTTTATTAAAAAAATAAAAAGGGACCAGGGGACCAGCAGGTGGCGTGGTAGTTAAGGCTCTGCATGGTTTAAGTCCTGGACCTGGCAACTTGCTTTCTCACTCCACCCCCACCCCATGTCTCTCTCTGGTCAAATTAAAATAAAATCAATGAATAAATAAAATTAAAGTAATTCTTAAAATAATTTTTAAAAAGGGACCAGCAGATGGTATAATAACATCACTGGACTCCCACATGACCAACCGTGGTTCAAATCCCAGGCCTGGAGGCTTCAAACTCAGGCTGGGCATGTATATGTGTGTGCATGCCCAGTATCTCAAGAGGAGAATGGAGAAGGACTGCAGCATGGCCGTGCCTTGTGGGGGGTGATTTCTCCCTCTGACCTGTAGCAGAAATCTCTCTAAAAACAACAAAAACCCTCACCTAAAATTATACTTACCATTCTAGCTGCTGGATGTAACACTTGCATTTGTTTCAGAATAGTAGCTCCGTCATTGGTAATGGTCACATCACCTTTTCCATCTTGAATCTGGGAAAATTTATTTTTAGTTATATTTAAATGTGACACACTAGAAGTTCTATTAAATCTTAATAATTTGCACTGGAGAATTTGTTTGTATAGTGCTTAATTTCAAATTCTTTTTCCTTATGTTAGTATAATAATTTAAGACTATGCAATTGAAGTTCAAACAAACAAAAAACAAAAAAATCTGGCTTTGTTCTAGGGTACTTTTAAAGATAAGGAATCCAGACACCATCCCCTTTCCCCCCAAAACAAAGGAAAGATTACAAAAAGGATGACTCTCATTCTTGTTTCATATTAATAACCAGAAACACAGTATTTCTATTTTTTCCAACAAGCACCACGCAAGTGATAAATTCAATTATTACACTCAACACAGTTAAGTTGGTTTGCAGTACCCTAAAAAAGAGCAACATTATTAGGAGGGATACAATTTAGAGTATCTGGGGAAATAATCATCTAAATGTCCAGATAATACTCCATATTCTCTTAGCTTTCATTTTGGTTGTTAGCTGGCATGTCATTCAACAGTTACTAGAATGCATTTGTTTGATGCTATAGTCAATCAAGCAGAAGTTGAAATCCCACAGACCCATGTTAGGACACCACAGGATCACTGAACACATCCTGACACCTGGACTCACTATACTTTCCACCTAACTACACAGTAGCAACTACTACTCTACATGTACTCTGTTTAAAGAGCATTAAAAAACAAACAAAATATGAACTATACTGGGTTGTCAGAAAAATAATGACGTATTTTTCCTTTTTCTATGTAAAAACGCATCATCACTTTTCTGATAATCCAATATTAGCCATGTTCATTCTACAGTAAGCTCTACCTCCTCTGAACTCTTAAGGTACCTAACAATTTTTACACAGCACATCTTAACCCTCTATCATGACCTAGTAGTGTAAATAGTAGTATACCGTAGGTATTGAATGATTCAGCTTTTTACCATTTTATCCATTCCTTTTGGTCCAAGGCTTGTTCTAATAGCATCAGCAACCGCTATAAACAAAAAGGGGGTGGGAAGAGACAAAATTAAGTCTTTAAATAGCAAAATATGTCTTCTCAAATGATCATTTTGTCCTTTTAGGATATAATGAACAGTTCACTATGCCCACTAAAGAAAATGAATTGCCTTAACAGCTACTAGAAATGGATGGTTTTATTACTTTTAAATGTATGACATTCCACTTTTCTTGTTAACATTGCTATACATGGGCCAGCCTGTAGCCTGGTAGTTAAGGAGCTGGATCCCACATGCTTGGTTGTGTAGTTCAAGCCTTGGACCTGATGGCTTGATAAACATGCTAGGGGTGTGTGTGCAAGCCCAAGTCCCAAAAGGAGGCAAGGATGGAGAAAAAGGGACTGTGGCAAGACCATTCCCAAGGGAGAATGCCTTCTTCCTCTGTGAATGCATGCACCCAGTGGCACAGTAAGAAAAAAAAAAGTTGTTATACATAGTATTTGTATCCTCCCTATGACAGAATACATTTTGAGGATTTACCTAGTCATCCCTTAAATATCTAAAAGGTACAATGTACTTATAAGCTCCGATTACATTATTTCCTCCATTCCTTTAATGGACAGGAGCAATAGTATAGGAAAAGCAGTCAATAGTACAGGCTAGACTTTCTAACATACTATGTAATTCACTCACTTGTTTAATCTGAGAGCAAAACCTTTTTGTTCACTAATTTAAACACGGCATATAGATAGCCAGTAAAAATAAACATTTGGCTAGCTGTTGGCATAGTGGTGGAGGTGGCTGGATCATACATGGTCTACTGTACAATTCAAGTCCTGGATCTGGCAGCTTGATAAACATGCCAACAGTATGTATGTAGATACTCAAAATCCCAAGAGAAGGGACTGCAGTGTGGCCATCCTTCTTAGGTAGGTGATTTTCTTTCTTTCCCTTATGGGTGTGCTCATCCACAGCAAAATTATAAACATCTGACCACCAACTTACCCATTGACAAAAAGCAATCAACGAAACAAAATCTATAAGCAAAACAAACTTCAAATCCTCAGATCACATGGCTTTTAGTCACTATTATCAGTACATTATGAAACACTTCTGGATATGCAGCCTACAATTCCAAAAGTTATATTCTTATTTATCTAAGTTAATATTTCTCTGTCCAGCAGGGGACATGGTGATTGAGGTGCTGGACTCCCACATGGTCAACCCCAGTTCAAGTCCCAGATCTGGAGGCTTGCTTTCTCACTTCCTCTCTCTGTCCCAATTAAAATAAATTAATAAAGTTAAATAAAATTAATTAAAAAAAAATCAAAGAATGAAAATTAGGTGCCTTTTTTTTTTTTAAATTTAAGAGAGCTTTTTGCTATATGGCATGTTAAGACAGAAAAAGACGGAGGAAAAGTGAGAACTCACCTCACAAGAGGGATGGCCATGAAGCAATCCCTTCTTCTCCATTCTTCTCTTGAGATTTTGGGCATGCATACACATGTCCCCAGTGTGAGTTTCAAGACTTTGGGTCTATAACTCAAACCACAGTGGGCCATGTGGGAGCCCAGAGCCTCAACCACTATACCACCTGCTGCCCACTAAAGTTATGTTCTTATAAATTGTCCAAAAGAATATTCCTATTTTATCAATTGACTTATTTTATTTATTATTATTTTCCAGTTTGATCAGGGAGAGACAGAGAAAGAGGGAGGAGGAAAACGAGAAAGCAAGCCACGAGGTCCAGGACTCAACCGCAGTCCGCCACATGGGGAGTCCAGCACCTTTAACCACCATACCATCTGATAGCCTCTCATCAATTGACTTATAATTATTTTCTAAGAGAAACTGGAATTGACGAACAATACTTTATACCCTCTTCTTTAAGAAGTCCAAGACAAAAGATTTAATTGTCCATGGAGGAGGGGAGCGAGTTCTCACTTTTCCTCTTTGTCTCTCTCCAGTAAGTACATGCCAAAACATCTTTAAAAAAAAAAATTAAGTGCAGATTCTTGTAGGTTTTTTTTCTACAGGGCACGTGCACTCGTCAGACACAGAGAGAGACAGAGAGATAGAAAGCAAGAAATCACCCCCCAGAGGGGATGGCCATGCTGCAATCCCTTCTCCTCCATTCTCCTCTCAGGATCTCGGGCACGCACAAACACGCGCCCAGGGTGAGTTTTAAGCCACCGGGTCCAGGACGTGAACCGCAGTTGACAACATGGGAGTCCAGCAACATAGCCATTACGCTAACTGCTGGTCCTGAGATTCTTATAATTTTGAAACTATATTTGATCTGATTATTTTGTAACTGGTTTACTTTAATTATCCAGTCAGAACAAACTGTTGAGTGATTTTAGTGGATACACATGGCCATGGTTCTACAAGAGGAACTCACTCACTCACTCACTATTTTTTTTTTTAAAGGAATGACTTCATTTTATTTATTTCACTTAATTTGCTATAGGGCACATGTGCTCACCAGAGAGTGAAATAAAAAGTGAGAAAGAGGCCTCCAGGTCCAGGTCAAACTGGAGATGACCATGAGGGAGTCCAGCACCTTAACTACCACACCAGCTGGCACTGGCACTTACTTTGAAATGCCTTTAAAAGAAAAAAGAAAAAGAAAAAAAAAAGGTTTTTGCCACAGGACACATGAGCTCACTAGAGAGAAAGAGAAAGTGAGAAATCACCCCCTAGGGAGATTGCCCTTCTCCATTCTCCTCTCAGGATTTTCAGAAAACTTGCATACACGCCCAGCATAATTTTCAAGCCACTGAGTCCAAGGCTCGAACTGTGACCAGACATGTAGGAGTCCAGCACCTTAACCACTACACCATCTGCTTTTTAAAGATAAGGGCATTATTTAAGGACATAACTTAAGGGCATTCTTAATGTAAATTCCTCTTGTGGAACCCAATACACAAATAGAGTTCATATTTATATTTCATGTATCTTTAGAAGTGTCTAAAGTTCAAAATACGATGGGGCACAAAGTAGCATCTGTTAAATAACTCATGCTGAATAGTACTAGAATTACTACTAACTTGTGTGTGGTTCTGCTCATCAATAACAAATGGTACCATTATCTTTTTGATAATACTAGAAAAAAACTGGGTTCCAGAATTAAACTGAAGATAAACCTGGCAGCAGTTTTCCCTCAATCATTTTGTAGGGTGTTTACTTGAAAACACTAGTATTCTCCCTCTCTTCTGAGCTCTCAGCACTTAAGATACATAGGGTCAGGACCAGCAGGTGGCATAATGGCTGAGGCGCTGGACAATCCAATGTGGCTGAACACAGTTCCCAGACCTGGCGGCTTGCTTTCTCACGTTCACTCTCTCTGATCAAATTAAAAAATAAATGAATGAATAAATCAAATTAAATAATTAAAATAATAGATACATGGGGTCATATAATTTCTTCTTCCTTTTTTTTTTTTTTAAAGGACTTTAGGATTTTGCCTTAGGGTACACACACTCACTGGAGAGAGACAGTGAGAATTCAGAAATCTGACCCCCACCATGGTGGTGGGGGGATGGCCATTAGGCAATCCATTCTCTTCCTGGGATACTGAAAGGTGGGACCTGGGACCAGATGAAGTGATGGTTCTATCACTGGACTCCTAGGTATTTGACTGCGGTTTGAATCCCGGACCCAAAGGTTTGAAACGCACATCAGGCGTGTATGCCCAAAATCCCAAGAGGAGAATGGAGAAGGGACTGTGGCCTGGCTATCCCACTGGGGGTGATTTCTTAGTCTCTTGCACTATATAGCAAAAAAAATCTAAAGAAAAAAAAGAAAAGAAAAGAAAAAAAAAAGGCCAACAAAAAAGAAAGGTGGGACCTTGGAGGAGATTAGGATTAAAGTTATTAGGGCGAGGTCCTCACAATTAAACTTGGTGGATTTAAAAGAAGAAGCAAGAGACACACTTACGCATGGGTCAACAGGTGGCATAGAGATTAAGGCAGCTAGATCCCACACAGCCAATTCTGCAGTTTGAGTCTTGGACCTAGCAGCTTAAATATCATGGGAAGGGGAGACCAGCAGGTGGTGTGGTGGTTAGAGCGCTGGACATTCCCATATGGCCAAACACAGTTAGAATCCCAGACCTGGTGGCTTGTCCCCCGCCCCCCATTTCTCTGGCAAAACTCATGTGAAAATAAATAAATAAATCATTCTTTTAAAAAAAAAATCATGGCAGGGAGGGCCAGCATAGCAACTATGTCATTGGACTCACACATGGCGGACAGTGGTTTGAGTCTTGGGCCTGGTGGCTTGAAACTCATGCACAGCACATGTGCGTGCCTGCCCAAGATTTCAGGGAGGAGAAAGGTTTGTAACATGGCCATCACCCAGTGAGTGATTTCTCACTTTCACTGCGTCTGTCTCTCTACTGTGAGCGCACACACCCCAAACCTCTCAAAAGGAAAAGAAAATCAAGCCAGGCATGTATGTGTGTATGCCCAAAATCCCCAGAGCAGAGTGGAGAAGTGACTGTTGCATGTCCAATCTTACCCCCTCTGTGGTTTCCTTCTGTCTCTGGGCCAAGACACATCTACACAGATGTCCTCTACCATAACGTAATGCAGCCAAAAGACCCACATTGGTTGTAGCCCCTGAACCTTCAAACCATAAGCTGAAAAAATTTCTTTTCCTTTTTGAGAGATTTTTTTGCCATACGGTGTTGTGCGCTCATCAGAGACAGAAAAGGAAAAAAATCACACCCCCCAGGGGTATGGCCATCAGGCAATCCTTTCTCCTCCATTCTCCTCTTGGAATTTTGGGCACATGCACCCTGTGTGAGTTTTAGGTAGGCAGGTTCAGGACTCAAGTCACAGTCAACTACACGGGAGTCCAGTGACATAACCATTACATCATCGGCTAGCCCCACGCTGAATAAATTTCTATTTTTATAAATCGCCCAGTTCCAGTACTTTCTGCTATTAAAAAAAAAGAACGAATTAGAACAGGGCAGATGCAGAAAGAATTTAAATTTCTTATTTTGTATTAATATCTCCCTTTCTAAAAAAATCAAACACATTATATATTTTGGTCACCTAAATAGTCCCAGAATTTATCTTTCAACATCCTGTTCCTAATATAAGAAATCTAAGCATCAGCTATGCTCCTCAGACCAGTGGTCCTCAAGCTTTACAGCAACTGAATTAAATTAAATAACTCATTTTTTAAATATTTTACATATATATATATTTATATATATATATACACACACACACACACACAAACACAAGAGGTTTTCGCTATTGCGCTCGCCAGACAGAGAGAGACATAGAGACAAAGTGAGAAATCACCCCCCAGGGGGGATGGTCACGCCACAATCCCTTCTCCTCCATTCTCCTCTAGGGATCTTGGGTACGCGCACACACACGCGCCCGACTTGAGTTCTAAGCCACCGGGTCAGGGACGTGAACCACGGTCGACTACGTGGGAGTTCAGCGACACAGCCATTACGCTAACTGCTGGTTCCTGAACGTGTATTTATATATTTCAATTTGACCAGAGAGGGACAGAGTGAGACAGGCAATGAGTAAGCTGCCAATTCTAGGACTCAAACCAGTTGACACATGGGAGTCCAGTGCCCTTAACCACCGCGACCTGCCAGTCCCAGTGTACTTATCTTTTAGCATCACCACAATCAGAGTCACAAGAATAAGGTGAAATTTACACATGGGTCTTTCCACATTTTTTTTCACAACTACTCTACAGATTAGCTATTACTCTACTCTAGTGAAAAACAATCTAAGGCTGGGAGAGAGTAACCCAATGTTCAAAGGCACCAAACCCTTCAACAGCATCAACTTAACTTTCCAATCTCATTTGTAAATAAATTTTGTTCTCCAACCAAAATGAAATGCTTACTCTATTCAATATATACAAAGGCAAGATCCTTGCTCTCGCTTTTCTTTACAGATTTTTCTATCTCTTAGTATCTTCAACTCCAACACGAAAACATTTCCCTAAATTTTGCAAGTAAAGAAATTTTGGCAGTTAGCATAATGGCTATGTCGCTGGACTCCCATGTAGTTAGGTTCGCGTCCCGGACCCGGTGGCTTAAAACTCCTTGGGCCGGCAGGGGGCACGGAGACCAGCAGGTGGCATGGTGGTTAAGGATGCTGGAGTCCCACATGGCCGACCGTGGTTCGAGTCCTGGACCTGGCGGCTTGCTTTCTCACTTTCTCTCTCTCTCTCCTCTCCCTCTCTGGTCAAATTTAAATAAACAAATAAAAAAATAATAAATGAAGTTAAACAAAATAATTTTTTTAAAAGAAATTTTGGCTGACAGATTAAAAACGGGAGGCCACGAACTAATAGAAGCAATACAACGCAAGCTCAGGTCTTGATTTCCACTATGTGCCACACCGTTCCACAGAACCAGTAAACTGCTTCCTGATTTGCTTGTTTACACAATCAAAATTAAACAGTGCACGTTTCCATAATTATTCAAAAACAAGACAAATCGGTTCCTTACATACATTTCAGTACAAAAGACCGCGCCCCAATTTAAATATGCAGTTTATTCAATTCTTCTCAAAACTTAGAACAGCATTTTTATTAGAATAACAAAGGTGAAAAATACTGTGTATGTATTATACAAATGAATCAAAAACTGGTAGGGACCGCTGCATGCAGTCCTGGGCAATTTTAGACTCAACTGCTTTCGGCTCCATGTGATGAATAACGCACAAGCCGTAACGTTAAAGTATAGGTGACTAAAACAAGAATGTGGAGGGTCCCAAAGCCTCCATACTCCGGGTCCGGAGTTATCGGCAGAAAACAGCTGTCTACTGGGAAGACAAAAGGGAACCAGCAGAAAGAGGGAATGGGCCATACCACCCACGACCAGGGTAAGAGAGGAGAGCCCGACTCTGTGGTACTCGGGGCAGTCCGGGGGAGCGATACCTTTGGCCGCGGATATGTTGCTGAAGCGGATCTGGGCCGGCTTGTCGCGGGCCTGATAGGCGCCTTTCCCCCGGCCGAGGGCCCTTTCCGGCGCCCGCCGGCAGCTCCGGCTGGCGCCCCGCTCCGGGGTGCCACGTTCTCGGGCATGATAAAGTGAGCTGGGTCCGCGAGGACTCGGGAAGGACGGATGGACGCGGATTTCGGTCCACCGTGGGGTAACGGTACGAGTTCACCGCTTTCACGAACCTTCCAGAAAGCGACACCGACGGCGGGCGGAGACGGAGGCGGAGAGGGGGCTTAGCTGGAGACGCGTCGCCGATGTGACGTAGGAGGCTGTCCGCCGCGTGCCGGGCGAGGTGGTGGCGGGCGGGAAACGCCGGGCTTTTTGGTTGTCAGCCTGGGCGCTGGAGTTGAAGAGCATATTGGGGCGCTTTCACACGAGGCAGCAATAACAACGCGCAATTTTAAAAGTGGTTGTTGAAGACACCCATATCTCTCCACTCCCCTTTGTGTGAGGTCCCCTTTATTAACTGTCTTGACCTGTCAGTAGGTGTGGCTTAGATCACTTTTTCCTGCCTGGGGACATGTGCGTTTAACTTAGTTTTATTCATTTTGAAATGGAATCCGAGGTCAATAAATGGGTTGGAGGTTGAGGTGACCGGGTCCACATGGCTGCCTGCGCGATTTGAGCCGACCTGGGGGTTTGAAAAACACGAATGGCGTGTGTGCCTGCGTGCCCGCTCAAAACCCAAGTGGAAAAAGAAGGGATTGCGGCGTGGCTCTCCTCCCTGGCAGGATGCTCTCTCACATTTCCTCTGTGTCCCTCCTCCAGCAGGGTCCTGAACCCTATAACAAAAAGTTAAAAAGAATATAAAAGCTGAGAGAGTCGGAGAAGAGATTTGGAATGGTTAGAAACTGTCCTTCGCAAAAAAAAAAAAAAAAAATTAATGGAGAGAGGGAAAGAAGGGAGCAGCAGTTGGCGTAATGGCTATGTCCCTGGACTCCTATGTAGTCGATGGTGGTTCCAGTCCCGGATCCGGTGGCTTAAACTCACGCTGGGCGTGGCTTAAACTCACGCTGGGCGTGCCCAAGATCGGAGAGGAGAATGGAGGAGAAGGGATTGGACTGTGGCCATCCCCCCTGGGGGGTCATTTCTCTGCCTCTCTGTCTCTATCTTTCTGGCGAGCGCATTCGCCCTATAGCAAAAAACTCTCAAAAAACAAAAACAAACTTTTGCTGGGGCCTGCACGGTGGTGTGGTGATTAAAGGTGTTGGATTCCCACATGGCTGACCAAGGCTGGAGTCCTGCCCTGCACCTTTTAGCTTCCTTCTCACTTTCGCTTTCTGTCTCTCACTCTGTCCCTTTCTGGTCAAACCAAAAATAAGTAAGTAAGCAAATAAAGTAATTCTAAGTTTAAAAAAAAAAAAAAAAGGAAGGAACTGTCATTTGCTTTGGAGCCTCGCATTGTTTGATACTGAGGAGGGAAGTTGAGATGAGCAGGCCTGACTTCTGCCAATCTGCAACTGCAAGCCAACTAGGGTCTTGTTTCACACTCAGGAAGAATTAAAGTTTCAAAAGGGATAAAAGGAAAGTTTATTAAGAGGAGAGGAGGAACACCCAGGGAGGGGTCCCAAGAATGGGTTGCTGAAGAGCTGGAGGGAGGGGTTTTAGCCCACCAAGGAGGAACCTGGCCACTTACTTTCCCAGTGGAGATAATGTGTCAGGTAATTTACTTCATTGTATTTGGGAATGGGTTTCCAAATCCCCGACTATAGGTATTCAGACCTTAGTTAATTAACATCAGCCCTTTGTAGCCTATGGCCATAAGGTTTCTAGTTTTTATAGTGCTTTCCAGAAGTCTTAAGATGAAGATTTGTCCTTCCATGCATTTTTTTCTTTTATGCTTCTAAGATGTAAACTCATTTAGATGCCCTTATTTTGCAGGTGCAAGCCTGCAGTCATTCCCATTTCTGAAAGATAGCTCATGGTGAGTTATTGTTTAAGATCCTTTGCTTTCTTGCTCTGCAGACCAAGAGAGATTATACTTTGTTTGGAATGTAGCAATGATATGGAAAATGTTAGTTCTTGCTATCATTGTCTAGAGCAGGATGTAAGCAGCTCTGAGGAAAAGTAATTTTTTTTTGGAGAGGTTTTTTTTTTCTCACTTTTTTTTTTGGCTATAGGGTGCGTGCGCTCGCCAGACAGACAGAGACAGAAAGCGAGAAATCATCCCCCAGGGGGGATGGCCACGCAATCCCTTCTCCTCCATTCTCCTCTCAGGATTTTGGGCACACACGCACATGTGCCCGGCGTGAGTTTAAGCCACCGGGTCCAGGACTCCAACCGCAGTCGACTACATGGGAGTCCAGTGACATAGCCATTTCACTAACTAGTGAGAGCAGTGAATGGTTGTTATTAAAAACTTAACCAGTTACTCCATCTTGTAAATCAGCTCCATTTCATGGGTTTGTACCCTAACCATCTGCTACCTCAATACTATGGGTGGGTAAAGGTTTAAATATATCCTAGTCAAATCCAGAGAATCTTAAAGTTTAAGCTGTAAATACCACCAAATCAGGACCACCTGTCTAGTTACTACAATGCCTTGGTTTTACACTTATTTGTGCTATGTAACATAGCCTCGGGCTAGCTCCTAATTAGGGAGCCTAAACATTGTTATGATTATTTAGATCAGTTATTTTCTAGATTCAGTGCTAAATCTTTTACATATTTTATATAATTTAATCCTCACAATAATCCTTTGAAATAGGTGCTAATCTGTTTACTTGGTAAGAGAGCTGGAGCCTAAAATAAACCAGTGAGTAGGTGGAAAGTTTCCAGTACAGTGCAAGGACTCCTGAAGTCATGAGCTCAACTATTGGTTACCTGCCACTTGAGTATGGAGGTTTATGCTGGCTGAATATGGAAGTTCATTCACTGTGCATTTGCAAATAATTGTTAAGTGTCGGTGAAGTGACAGATGCTTACAATAGGCTCAAGTTTGATTGAGTGGTACTTAATCCTTTTTTTTAAAAGAATTATTTATTTGGGCTCTTTCCCACTATACAAGATGGCAAGTGAAAAAGCTGCAAAGCAAGACAGTAAGGAAAAGAAACCTGAAGCCAAGAAAGCTGATGCCAGTGGCAAGGTTAAAAAGGGTGACCTCAAGGCTAAAACAACAAAGAAAGGGAAGCCCCATTGCAGCAGAAACCCAGTCCTGATCCCCGGGGCAATGGTCTGCCATATATTCCAGGAAGGCCATGTACAAGAGGAAATACTCAGCCACTAAATCCAGGATTGAAAAGAAAAAGAAGGAAAAGGTTCTTGTAACTGTCACAAAACCAGTTAGTGGAGAGAAGAATGATGGTACTCAGGTGGTTCAACTTTGCAAAATGCCTAGGTATTATCCTACTGAAGATGTGCCTCGAAAGCTGTTGAACAATGGCAAAACCCCTTCAGTCAGCATGTGAAAAAGCTGCAAGCCAGCATCACTCCTGGGACCATTCTGATCATCCTTACTGGGTGCTACAGAGGCAAGAGAGTGGTTTTCTTGAAGCAGCTGAGCAGTGGCTTGCTACTTGTAACTGACTGTTGGTTCTCAATCAAGTTCCACTGAGTAGAACACATCAGCAATTTGTCATTGCCACATCCACGAAAATTGATAGTAGCAAAATAAAAATCCCAAAGCACTTTACTGATGCTTACTTCAAGAAGAAGAAACTGCGGGGACCAGCAGTTAGTGTAATGGCTATGTCGCTGGACTCCCATGTAGTCAACCGTGGTTCGCGTCCCGGACCCAGTGGCTTAAAACTCACGCCGGGCATGTGTGCATGCATGCCCACGATCCCGAGAGGAGAATGGAGGAGAAGGGATTGCGGCATGGCCATCCCCCCTTGGGGGTGATTTCTTGCTTTCTGTCTCTCTGTCTCTCTCTGTCTGGTGAGCGCGCGCGCCCTATAGTAAAAACCTCTCAAAAAAAAAGAAAAAAAGAAGAAACTGCTGTGGAATCCCGGACACCAGGAAGGTGAGATCGTTGACACAGAGATGGAGAAATACGAGATTTCAGAGCAGTGCAAGGTTGATCAGAAAGCTGTGGACTCGCAAATTTTACCAAAAGTCAAACACTATCTGCGATCCATGTTTGCCCTTACAGGTTGAGTTTATCTTCACAAATTGGTGTTCTAAATATTCTGCCAATTACTGATCATATAAAAATAAAAGAATATTTATTTGGGACCAGCAGGTGGCGTGGTGGTTGAGGTGCTAGACTCCCACATGGGAAACTGGTTTGAGTCCTGGACTTGGCGGCTTGTTTCTCACTTTCCTCTTTATCTGGTCAAATTAAGAAAAAAAAGTAGATAAAATAAAATAAATTTTATTTTAAAAATTATTAATTTAATTTATTTATAATAATAATAATTATTATTTTAACCAGAAAGGGAAAGTGAAAAAGCAAGCTACCAGGTCCAGGACTTGAACCATAGTAGGTCATGTTGGAGTCCTTAACCACCATGCCACTTCCTGCCCCGAGAGGTGCTTAATCCTTGATCATGAGGTGCTTTTACATGCATGTGGGATGTTAGCATTAGGAGATGGAGGTTCTTTTACTTTTTAAAATTTTATTATTATTTTTTTTTTTTTAGGGTTTTTTGCTATAGGGTGTGTGTGCTTGCCAGAAAGACAGAGACAGAGAGACAGAAAGTGAGAAATCACCCCCCAGGGGGGATGGCCGTGCCACAATCCCTTCTCCATTCTCTTCTCAGGATCTTGGGCACACACGCACACGTGTCTAGTGTGAGCTTAAGCCACCAGGTCTGGGACTCGAACCACGGTCTACTACATGGGAGTCCAGCGACATAACCATTACGCTAACTGCTGGTCCCAGAGATGGAGGTCCCTACGTGCTCTGATCAACCAACCTCTGGGACAGATTTCCCTTCAAAGGATCAGATTACTTCTAGGTAGCACATAGACATTCTATGATCATTTGTTTAGGTAACTAATGTAATATGATGGAAACAAAAGTGTGATTATGGATATAGCATTGATTTGTGATTTGAGTGCCAGCTCTGCTACTTAGCTCTGTGATATTAGGCAAGTCATTTAAGTTCTCTGGGTTTCATTTACCTCATCTATGAAATAGAAGGGTTGAAGTAAGTGATCTCTAAGGGTATATTGAATTCTTTCAATGTAAGAAGTAGATCAGCTATGGAAGATAGCCAAATTTCAATGATGTCATTATTGCCTTCTTGGAACAGTCTCTCTCTCTTTCTCTCTCCCTTTTTTTTTTTTTTTTTTTT